AGTGACGAGGATAAAGTACCTACTTAAATCATGAGCCGTCTTTCGCCCCCTCCCCTCCCAAAAATTTGTGTTTGCGTTTGCATGCAATGTGGTGCATTTTTAAATGTTTCGACTAGCCGCTTACGTACGTATTTCATGAGAATAGCCACCACGATTCATACTATTTGTTGTGGTTTCTCCTTCATTTTAGTTTGTGCACTGTGATCCCCTCTGACACATCGTTGAAATCCTTGATAATGTCGTGTCGTTTTAAAGAATTCTTTCACTCTTTCACTCTTTTACTCTTCATGTACACTTCCAAACACGTGACTCTACTTGCTGAGTGGATAAGTTTCCTGTTTACTTTTTCCACAGACCTGTCGCTGAATTGCTGGAGATTTCATCATGTATTGTTGTGTCTCCCTCCCCCCCATAGCATCAGCGGTGGTTACGGTGGTTTTTACCTTCTTGAATTAACCTCCCCCGTTTCGGTCATATCATTCTGTATCCATGTTATATTTCACCCACACCTGAGTCCTGCTGAATGCCAGACTAATCTCGGTACAGTAATCTTTATTAATAGAAAACTATCCATGATTTGCGCGTATGCGCGATACTGCTTGGTCACTCGGTTCAAAGTAGATGAATTTTCTTGTCACTATGTTTTTTTCACTTATCGGGGTCCATACCGTGTGTCAAACAAATCACGATTCAAGCAGTTTCGCCACGAAAAATGCAATCCGTGTCCTATTCTAAGCAGTTGGTATTCCTAAGGATCTGCGACCGAAGCCTCCGGTAATTCGATGACCTATATAGTCTTTTGTTGTGAAAACTGCAATCTTTCACGGATTACGATCCAGTTCGTCGTACCTTATGAGACTTGAAACACTATTCACTCGCTCTGAGTTCTCAATTCCCCAATCGAGCTGGTGATCCTCTCGAACAGGGTCGCTTGCAGTTCTCGCCACACGTACTGAAACAAAAAACATGTACCCCAGAACCTTGTTGTTCGACATCCACGGCATCATCTACTTAATCTGATACGGCATATATATATATATAAATGTGAATGGCTAGTGATTACTCCTTTGAATTACTGAACGTAATTCGCATTTTGCAGTCAAAGTAAAAAAGGAATATTAGTTCTATAGAAAGCAACTGATTGGTGTAGTTGTTCTCACGCTTTTTTCGTTCGGTCTCTGACCTGTCCTGATATCTTAAGATTGGTCTGCTTACTTTTCTTATCACGCACGCACCCTAGTTCTGTTTTCGACACGAAGCGATGTTGAGAAGAGGTTTCTTAATTATTATTTGCGCATGATATACGCCTGTTTGTGTTGCATTTTCTCGTTTGGCTTCATGAGTTTGTAGGAAATAGACAGTATGTCATTTTCAATTCATTTATCTTATTGGTTCATGTTCCCCGTGACTACTGTTCCTGATTGACATGCAGTGGGGTTGGTTGGATATGGACGCAAAATTTAGCATAACTGAGTGTAGATAGCAATATGGAGTAGGACACTCGGGACACCTCGTTTGTGTATGGAAGTTGTCTGTGTGTGTATACATGACTCATCCATTGATCTGATTGTCAAACAGACTCATTCACTTTTTTCTGATGTCATTCATACGTACGTAGATCGACTCCTTTGGGGGTCATTAATAATGTCAAAAATAAAATGCCATTGCATACCACACCTTTTTTCTGTCCTCGGAGAACTGTTCATAAAGCTGAATCACCATCTACTTCGAGAGAAAATCACTATTCTTTAATCCCTCAGATCCCTTATCAAATCTTAATTTCTAACTCCATGGTAAGACTGGTTTTGGCGAAAGTGTATTCCTTCACTACCTGTCAAGTTTGAGTCTCGTTAGCCTTCGGGTTTATTCACCTGGCTCTGACCTCGCAACTAAAACTACTAATGGTTCCCCGATTCTTCTTCTTCTTTGTCTCTCAAAGCTATCGAATTGATGTTCCCGAAGATTTGCCTGTTGGGACTAATTTGATCCGGTTACTGGCCGTCGATCGAGATGCTGACGGTGCGGATCCTATCACCTACTCGCTGTGGCCTATCTCGATACTGGACACTGAATTGACGACAGCTTTACGCGAAACGGCTAGAGGCTTCCCATCAATTACCAGTTCCAATCCAGAAATTACTGCTTTGCATCAGAAGTTCTCAGTGAATTCTCAGGGTTGGATTACGCTTAGGACTTCGCTCGATTTCGAGCTCCAGTCGGAACACACGTTCAAGGTGAGTTAATTTTTGTTCCATTGTGAATTTGATTTGCAAGTATACTACTTACAACCTCAAAAAGTAGGTAACATGTGAATGTGAAAATACTGTCGGTTTCGGTGGTCCATTGATACATGTAAATAATGGGAAATTTGTCCATGCATGTGTACTTGTGTGTATGTGTGTAGACATGTGTTTGTGAATGGGTATGTAGCACTCGGTCGTTTTAGAAAAATTCCATTTTATTTTGTCTCAGAGAATTCTGTGGAATAAACCTCATGATTTCACAACCTTGCTTTGTTCAACATGTAACTCACAATCACGATGCGGAATAGACAAATTCCTTCTAATTTCATCCTCTCACTCAGTGATCGTTTGTTCCCATGAGCCAAACACGCCAGACTCACTAGATCAGAGTTTCGTTCTTGTTAGAGCTCATCACTTGTGCAAATCCATCGTCCTATCCGAGGTTTCCATTGCAAACCAATCGCTGGTAGAAAATCTGCTACCACTGTTCTAAGCAACACACACGTAGTAGACCAGAATTGCCAATCAAATTTGCGTTTCTGAGTGGCATGAAGTTTGTTTTTGAAGTGTGGAAAACTTGTCACTTGTCATACTGCTCTATGTGATTTGGAGATATGTTATCAGATTGTTCGGTTGTACTCTCTTTTTCAATAATTGTAAAATGGATGAATTCGTTTTCCCCATAAATAGTTTATTTCCAAAATAATAATTAAAATAACCAATCGGTGTGGAATATGGTAGTTCTTTAATCAAATATCTGCTTTAACTTATGCGGTTATGTATTTCATCAATTGGTTTTGCTGTTTCCCCCGTCTATATTGCCTGTTGCAATGAACGAATCGTTTGTGTTGTCTTCCGCGATCACTGTCAATATATCGGTTCAGACTAGTTTCCTCAATTCCGTACAGCTTGCTGATCCGACTTCGAGTTACCTGGAGATCTCAGAAAACGTATCCGATTGTTCCCAATCTGTGTTCGTCTCCAAAACGATGGCAACTTGTATTTTGGTACTAGAAAACAAATGTACTGAATCAACACAGAGTAGTTTTCTTCAAGAGCTGTGCCTCAATCAGCGAAACGAACGCTATCCACCGGGATTCTAACGCGCATTGAAGCGTATCATTTTTTCAGATCAACTAACCAAAAAAGCTACGTTGCGTCACGATGGTGACGTGCAAGAGCTCTCATATGGATGGGTGGGAAAACAAATTTGAATAATATTGAGTGAACCATTGCTCCAGTTGGACAGAAAAGAGGTGTGTAGATTAAAATACTAAATCTGGATGTAGGATTACTGGAGAGCGAGAGGGCGAGTGGTGCTGTGTGCGTTCCCTAGACGTACCAATTCACAGAGATCATTGATGGTAAACGTAAGATGAGTTCCTGGGCGTTGGCTGTCAGGTGGATAATAGTAGTCATGGAGTAAGGGGACATGCAGGTGGCCAAACATTTCTGTGAAGAATAGAAGTATAATTATGTTTACTTTCATGCAGCTATCTGCTGCGCCATCTGTTGTTACCCGTACAGTCTGTTTCTGATATTGAGCAAGTGACATAAGCAATTGACGGTTATTGCGCAATATGCTTTAGACTTTGACGTAATTATTTACTGGCACCGCTGATATATCCTCATTCAAAGGTGGTCACTTTAGGAATGATTATACTTCTGTATCTTTTGATTGCGAATTACCAAATATTTTGGCAATACAAATTCAGCATCTTCATACGTATATCAATTTTTGTGGCATGAGGTATGATTGTGCGCGAAATATGTACGATAATCGTTTAGTAGTGAATCAAACGAATAGACCCCACGTAAATCGAGTAGCAAACAACAATTTGGACATTTCAAATGACAATTCGTCGTGTATGTAGCAAATGAAGCGTAAACTGAAATGCTCGGAAGCACTGGACAGCTGTTTCGACCTGTTTGGGTCTCATCAGCAGTGCGAATCCATCGACCCGACTGGGGATCGAACCCAGGACTTCATGGGCAGAACGCGAGCGTGCTACCCACTACGCCCCCGGGCAGCTGACCAGACCGTTTTTTTCATTTTCCATTTACACGATATAGCACAACCCATCTTTGAGAGTTTGTTGCGGGCCACAGACCCCTCTTAACTCAGCACTAGCCTCCAGGGTTATGACTCGGTTGGAAACATTCACAACCTGACTGATCACGACGAATTGTCATTTGAAATTTAACCAAATCCTCCATTACCCACATGAATTATGGACATTCTGATGAAACTGAGTTACTCATTCTTAAGATGTCAACAGGATGTTAGTTTTTACTTTCTTGTTCTCTTTATGCAAGCCCGAAATTGGTTGATTCTACTGTACTTTGCCCCCAAATTGATTTCGAATTCTTTGATCTGTGCCAATCTGGGATTTCCAGTTTCGCCCCACCGTTCATGTTTCGCGATGTATTTTCTTGTTCACGCTGTTACTACTAACTACGTTTATAGTAGTGCAATTGAGGTACTTAAATTTCCATTGCTGTCCCGTTAATCCACACCTTTTTCTTCGCATCAGGTCGTTGCAATGGATGCCGTCGGTCATTGGAATGCTAGCTCTGTGGTTGTTTCTGTGATTGACATTAATGATAACGCACCACACTGGCCCATCCGTGAAGCATCTAACGATCCTCTCGAGCACATCCTTTTTTCGGATGTGTCACGTCGACAAATCCTGCACGCTGAAGTCAACGTCTCGGAGAACCTCGCTCCGACGGCAAATGAAGTGATTTATCAACTGAGCGTGGTCGATCCGGACAAACAGTCCACCTCGACTGCTCCGGTGTTCTATCTCACCATTGATTCGGACTCAGACTCGGATACTTATGAGGCATTCGCATCGGCTTCCGCATTCTTCTCCGTGACCACTTCGGGTGCAGTACGTCTGCGCCGACCCCTTGATCGCGAATTGGCATCAAGTTACACGCTAAAATTTCGTGCCTCAGATGGTCTCTTCGTCACTGCAGATGCGTTTGTTTTGCAAGTAAACGTGTTGGATGTGAATGACAATGCACCAATCTGTTTACAGGTAATATTTTGAACCATAATGTTTCAGACAACTGTGGACGGTATTGTTGTTCATATTTTTCAGTCCACAAATAATTGTATGATGATGTGAGATAAATCTTGTTGTTTTTGAATAACCGTACTTCAGTTTCCCTCTCCAAGCAGGAACCTCAACCCATCCATTCCATTAGACACTCAGAATACACCAGGCTTGAATTTAGTTCCTGAGGGTATTTTCAGTTTCAGTTTGTGCAACCATTAACCATGCACTTTCGTGCGTCGGTTTTGGTTGCTGTCCTTTGGCGGCCGTTTCTGTGAATATTAGGAGAAAGACAGCAGGAATGAAAGTAGAGTCAAAGAGAAAATTGAGAACTCCAGTACATTATGGCTGCAAAGAAATTGAGAAGATGCACGAACGATACTCAGCGATATCGCAAGTGTCTCTAATAATCGGTGACCATCATCTCGAGGTCCTCAGCCAGGGAGACTAACAGAGCCTATGTGACCTATTCTCCTGATTAGGGTTTTCATACCCTCATGCCAGGTCTTAGCTTGACCACCCCCTACCTGCAGCGGTGAACATCGCTCGCCGTGGCATGTGTAACATATGCCGCAATCAACGTAATCTATGAAGCTCATCAGTGTTCACATATTTATATAATTTTCGGGATGCAAATTTCAGATTCCTAACATGACAGAGCTGTGTATGTGTGCTATCACTCTGAAAACGAGGGCTGACGATAACTACTTGATAAAGTTTGCATCGAGGCTGCTTTCAACCATAACCAGTCAGTTTTATTTTTCGCGCGATAGNAGAGAAAGAGAGAGACACAGCACGTATATTCTATCCGTTTAATTCAGTTTTGTCTTTCCTTGGGTCAGGTTTATTTCCCCATCCGTGTTCGTCATTTTTTCTCGCATATAGCGCTAGAAGGTTCACTTGTAATGCTCTGTTCAGGTGGGATTACTTGTGATGATCCTGTGTCAATACCTACTCCTGTTTCACTTTTTGTTAGCTGTTTTTGGCATTTGATTGTTTTTTAAAATATCTTTCTTAGATTGTGCTGTTCGAAGTGAGTGATCGAAAAATCTGGAGATTCAGGTTGATCGTGGAAGTAATTTACGTTTTTCTTTTATCCCAGAATGGATTTTAATTGTGTTGGGGTTAAAATCACCAGTAATAAGTGCCAACAATTATATCGTTCTTTCAAATCCGATCGATACATACATATATATATCTATTGTGATTTTGTTGAATTTACCGAATCCGATCCCGATTATCTATCAGAACACATCACTCACTCACTTACTCACTCACTCACTCACTCAGTCAGTCAGTCAATCAATCAATCAATCAATCAATCAATCAATCAATCAATCAATCAATCAATCAATCAAATGCAATCCCCCGTTGACAAAGTAAACCATGGAAACCACAAACACTCACACAGAATCACTGTTTCATCATTCATAAAAGAGGTCACGTGCATCTAATCCTCTTTCCGCTCGTACATGTTTACAGCCCGAACGTCATTTGTCTGTGTTGGAGGACGCTCGTATCGGAACTGTCCTAACTCGGCTGACAGCTACAGATGCAGATGCGGAACCGGTCAACTCCGCAATCACCTATCAACTCACCTCGGGCGATTCGGACCGATTCACGGTGAACAGTCAGACCGGGGAATTGCGACTGGCNCGACTGGCCAACCGGTCGCTGGACTACGAGTCTGAGCACACGCATCGACTCGTCGTGCAAGCCAGTGATGTGGGTCAGTTGTCTTGTCAGTTTGTGATTCATGTGGATGTGCTCGATGTGAATGATAATCCGCCCGTGTTTGACCCCGTTCAAATCAACCCGATCCCAGAGGATGCCCCGATTGGCAGTCTGGTGGGCAAAGTGACCGCACGTGATCTGGACACCGGTATGTCCTTGTTTAGGAAAAAAAATTTTATTGCTTTTATGATATCATCGACTCGCATTGCACGCGCGTGCGCCCGTGCGAGCTCATTTCCACTAATTTGGTTGATTGGTTTTCCTCTCGTCATTCTCTCTATCGCGTGCGCGCGCACGCACGTTTAACTAGACATTGTTCTGTCCCCTTGTGCTCACAACCGATCAAATTGAGAGGTCAAGCAAATTGCTAGTTTCCTGCCCCTCTCCCCCAGGATTTTTAACAGCGCTGAGCACACACGCACACCTACTCATAAAATGATTTGATTTATTTATCCTCGATGCGGTCATTGGGACTAATTTCATGTCGTTTGCCTCATTTACTGTCACCAACTAGTGTGTTCACCCCACTTGCTTCTCTCATTTGGATATCACAACTGGTGGGGATCACGGTCGAGAAGCCTCAGTATGGTCGGGGATGGGTGTCTACGGCTGCGGCTGGTTACCCTACCCTTGCACCTCGCGAAATGCTCCCAGACGAACAAGCGTCTCAAATAGCCTCTGCTAAGGTAGCCCTACTCATTGCCTTCCCGTGGCGGTGTTTCCCCACCAAAGTGAGAGGACGAAAAACCGACAACCGGGGATATAACCCGGTTGGTGGACCACTGGTAGTTCACCTAGAGGAGTTGACCGAAAACCCTGATTCCCAACCAACCATGAAGAGGCGTACGAACCACCCACACAACTTCCTGGTTGTGGCAGTGGTCACCAGCTCCATTGGACATCGAGGTGTATTGGGCACCTTGGACTTTGACCCCGTCCGAAAGGCGAATCATCAGATGAACTAACTGGACATCGGCTTCCAATGGGTTGCGGTTTTCACACACCGCCCGGCTTTGGCTAGCGGAAGGCTCCGGTTGTGAATTCCTCAAGAAAATTCATCTGCCTTGGTCTGGGCAACCTGGCAGTATTCGGCCCACAAGCCAATTATGGAACGTTTTTCTTTTTTCCAAAGATTATTGTACCATAATTTGCCCGGCACACAGTCTGTCCTCAGACAAGTGTGAAATATGATATAATATTACGGTCGAAGAATGGGAATATCTTTATCACGACACTAGTCTTCCCTAGTTTGGTTCATTTCTGGTCAGTGTCTGTTCGCACGGGGTAATCTTTTCGGAATAAAACAAATAACACAATATGAGCAGATTTGATATGGGCCATCAATGTCCCGGGTTCACGATCCGCCGTCTTGCTCACATTAAATAGGTTAGAGTATTATCTCTTCCTCGGCTGCGACATCTCGGACACGGTGTATCATTCATGGATCGGAGTGTCCATTCTTAAGTCCCAGTTCCTGTGTTCCGAACTCCGGTTGGAGAAACTACTAAACTCAATATTCACATATCAAATGAAACTTCCCACCATCAGACCCTATCCACTTCTCGGTCACCTTCTTGTGAATGCGGTCACATTGAGTAGCGAAATCGAGCTTCGTAATAAGCATAAAGCCGTGACTGTTCAGTCCATGTGTGGGCTTTAGCTTTTCTCTCTCCCCAAATCGGTTGTTGTTCCCGTTTCGTGCTAATCTCCGTTTGCTCTATGGTTCATGTCACGTGAAACAATAGCGGCCTGTTCATATTCAGTCTGCCTATTTTGCGTCACTTCGGAAGTACAATTGTGAACAGCCTACGCCCACCGCTTGCACCTTAGAGTGTTGGGAATAGTAGAATAGCAGAATGCCGTTGTCTTGGTCACGTGCTGCTGCTTTGTCATTGACATAAGCACACAACGGTTCGAATGACAGCTCGAATAGGGTAGATGAGTAATTGCACAGGTCTCTAGGATAGCTGATCACTTGCCGTATTCGAATCAGACAAACACGGAACAGGATACTCGATTACACCGCCTTTTTTAACAGCAAGTTACCATGCGGCTCCCATGTAACCGTATGGCTCCGATCGCCCATCAGATAACTTTCGACCGGTGGTACAGTGTTCATCCCAATCCATGGGCTAATTTTGCTCCTGTATTTCATTAGTTCATTTATCACGTCTACTGTGACAATCATCAGACTAGGTTTCACGGCCCCGTGAATCCTCAATTTTCTACACATCACCTCAATTGGCGGAGGTCACATTGTGCTTGCTACTCTTGACGCTCCCTTCCCTCCCTCCCCTCGCCCCGCACACTCACTTCCTTAGCACATCTGTTTTCGTTGTGGAATCGAACATGATGGTATTAAATATTGGTTTGGTTGTTTCACATGTCTTAGCCCTGTGGACGTACAATACATGCAACCAAACGGTGTTTTGCAATCCGACCGGCCATGTTTTATCCGAGAGGTTCGGGAGTTCCTCTGTTCGCCCCCACCTCCCCGGACTCGCCGCTCGTGCTGCTTGCACTGTCAATCAGTCAGTCAGTCCATCTCGCATTGGTGGGTTTCAGTTCTAATCAAAATGCAAATGAGCACACTGCTTTGCTCTGATGGATTGCGAACTCGGTCTGTTCCCTTTGGGTACTTTTTCATGGGTTACGTAATAAACACACGCAGATACCGCTTGATCAGTACTGATGTTGCTTTTGTCCGGGGTTAAACAATCGAATAAACCAAGAAATCCTGGCGGTGCGCACAACAACACGGTTGCCATCGGGATTGGTCAGGATGGACCGGAAACGTATTGCAGACAGACTGAGATAAGCCCCTCGGTCCATCGCCAAACAGACTACCATTACAATTGCGTATCGTACTGGCAGACAGTAATTTTGACATAGTGAAACAAGACCGAAATGGATCCCACTTTTATTATGATTTTTCTCGCTCGTATTTTGCTTAGTTGAAACGGGGCCTAATTCTCCTGTTTCTATGCTATGGTAAATTTACTCTTGTCTCATGAACCATGACTTCGTGTTATTCATGATGTATTTTTTTACACCTACGCACACACAACTCAAATCAAAAATGCTCTCCCTTCGTCGTCCCCCCCGTCGCCCCATCCGTTCCGGGCAGCCTCAAAATTGCATGTTGTGTGAAATTTAATCCTGTGAAAAACAAATGAGTAGCTGCGTCGTTAAAAGGCGACCGTCTAATAGTGAATTCATGAGCCCCATCCTGTGGGGTTCATTTTACTTCGAAGAACCCATTCTTTTCTAGTCTCATTTTGCAGCTGCTTCACTGACTCCTCTTGTCATAGTTTCACACAGTCAGTTTCACTTCACACTCTTGTCAGAATACTTCTCCATTTTGTGTGGGTAGATAAAAATCTCGGTGATTGCTTACGTCGCGACCCGAATAATCTGTCACATGTGCGTAACAGGATTTCGGGGCCCGGTGACCGTATTAGCCTTGGAAATATTGAATTCACAAACAATCGTGCTCGATCGGGAGCACTTCGTAGTGACCAGTTATCGATTTGCCACAAGTGGTCTGTCGGACTAAAGCACAATTTATCAGAATGATCATCTCTTTGCTAGAAGACAGGTTATCTTCCTCCACGTTTTTCATAATCCACCCAATCCATATAAACAACTCTCGTTCTTTGGGGTCAGTACTTGATATCAGATTGCTTCAGTTATTGGTTCTCCAAACTTCGCGTCATCTGTCACGACGAACCGTGATTTTTCCTAATGAAATACACGGATCCGTTTTAGGCAGCGTCGTAAGCAGCCCTGTATTCTTCACTTAAGGAGCCTGGCTTCTGTGTGAGATCAGCTTAGAAAAGTTACAAACGATCATGATTAGCGCATCGTTTTTATTGTTTTTTGCATTATTCATCATCTTTTGTAGAAAATTCATCTTACATTCATTTTTTTACTTCTATACCGTGGCAATCCCACGATCGGAACTCCTTCCTCTACTGTTTAGTTGCTTTTTTCATCATCAGGGTGGTGACCGTGAGGTCTAAACAATTAATTGATACTGCAATTCCCAGTCTCACGACTCAAGTAATCCATTCATCCTGTTTATAACACCGAATTTCACAATCCCATTCCATGCCCATTCCCATGATAGGATCCGTGTGAACGGCCGGCAGACTGATCTCATCGGTCACTTAACCATTAGACCTAGTGCCTCTGCGCTTTGTCAGCTTGTTTAATTCACTGTTTTTGACTCTACTCCGTATGTTGTCGGTCACCACATTTTGGCCCCAATTAACAGTTCAGTCACGTTCTGTGGTGCAAATTCCAATGAACCGCCTAGACCTCGGTTAACGTCCTAGTCATGCCTAATCAGCTGCGTTCGACACACGGAACTCTCTCATTCCCCGTTTTTAAATCTCTCGTCCCACGTGTTCCATGCAATCCCGCTCCGTTGGCACCGACTGCCGGACCAACAATTATTGAAATCTGTTCCATAATTCTGATTGGTCCGTTGTCCTGATTGGTGTTGGTTATATCGCACGCGTTTACGCTCGTTCAGACGGACGCACTTGTGCGCACACGGTTCAACCAATAGCCATGTAATTGTGTGTGGTATGTGTGACTGGCGCGTGCATCCACTACATTGGTACGTCTGTCGGGACGATTTGTTACAGCGTCTCAGTGAGCACACGTGTACGAAAAACCACCTTACGCGATGCCGTGATGGTTGACGGAGTAATCTATTGGATTAACTTGAATACTGGTCCTGCACTGATGTAGCAGGGAGTGTGGCTATTTTCGTGTGTGCGAACTACGGATATTGCATACTAACTTGTCTTTCCGCTTCCCTCTACTCTTTTTGTTTCCGTGACTCCAATTACCCCCTGCGATCGGAATCTGCAGTGGATGCGAATCGTCTCGTCTATACCTTGGTAGCTGCACATGAGGCCAGTTTTAGCATCGAACCGCAGACAGGATTATTGAAAGTGAGTAAAACTTTGGATCGTGAGACTCAAAATGTGCATCATCTGACTGTTCTTGTGCGTGACGGACCTTCCTCGTCGACTGATTCATCCGCCCACCGGTTCACGGCCACCACTTCACTCACTGTGCAATTGTTAGACGTGAACGATTCGCCGCCTCAGTTTGTGAATACTTCCGCGCATAAATTGAACGTATCCGAGCTGGCCCCCGTCGGACTGTGGCTGACACGCGTGCGCGCGGTCAGCCAGGACGAGGGACCGAATTCGCTGATTCACTATCGTTTGCTAACCAAACAACCGGAATTCGCGTTGAACGAAACCACAGGTAAGTCAGGGTTCCCGGATCACTTTCCCTGAGATTCACTGAATCCGTTCTTTCACATTCTGACGTGAATCCTTACGTCATTGTTTGTGTGTAGACATTTTCTCTGTGTTCTGTGTTAGACATCACTATGAAGTGTATTTCTAAACGTGGCATCCACTCGCAATCGGTCATGTTCCCTAGTCGAGATAGATCTTGAAACATGTTCTAGCACACCAGTTGATGCAAATGACGTCGTACGAAGATGATCATCTGGGACAACCAGTGAAACAAACAAAATGTACTGGGTTTTTTCATCTTTCGTCCCTTTAGTGGGTTTTGACTCGAATATCTGGGTGAAGATTTAGAAGAATACAGAAACAGATGATAATTTTCCGTATTTCTGTTGCTATGCTGTTAAAGACGGGACGGATACCGATGATCCCATTATTTTGAACGGCTCCAATCCTGTTCGTTGGCATCGTTTTCCTATCCCTGTTATTGGTTTATTGTTTTTTTGTAGTTAAATTTAAAGACCGATTTTTATGATCCGTGTTCTGGATCTACCTCCTCCCTCCCACGTGGACTCCATTCCTCGAC